AGTCCAGAGTTTTGCGACCTTAGGGACCGTGATGGATTGTAGCGTGGCAGAAGACTAGTTAGGTATGCAGGAGCTAACCCATTAAGGGCTTTATAGGCAAGTAATAATATTTTGTAACTGATACGGAACTTAATAGGTAGCCAGTGCAGAGACTGTAAAATTGGTGTAATATGATCATATTTTCTTGACCTGGTATGGACTCTAGCTGCTGCATTTTGGACTATCTGTAGCTTGTTTATTGAAGATGCAGGACAACCAGCTAGCAGTGCATTACAGTAGTCCAGTCTAGAGGTCATGAATGCATGAACTAGCTTTTCTGCATCAGAAACAGGTAACATGTTTCGTAATTTGGCAATGTTTCTAAGATGGAAGAATGCTGTTTTTGTAACATGGGAAATATGATTTTCTAAAGACAAGTTGCTATCTAATATAACACCCAGATTTTTTACTGTAGAGGAAGTAACCGTTCATCCGTCTAGTTGCAAATTGTAATCCACGAGATTCTGTGTACTGTCTTTTGGTCCAATAAGTAATATCTCGGTCTTATCCGAATTTAATAATTTAAAATGATTGGTCATCCAATCTTTTACATTTTAACACATTCTGTTAGCTTAGATAATTTCATCTGGTCTTGTTGAGATATATAGTTGAGTATCATCGGCATAACAGTGGAAACTAATCCTGTATTTTCTAATAATATTACCAAGGGGCAACATGTATATCGAAAATTCTTGTGGCACTCCATATTTTACTGGTGATAATTGAGATGACTCCCCATTTAAATGAACAAGGTGGTAGTGATCGGACAGGTAGGATCTAAACCATCTTAAAGCCTGCCCTTGAATACCTGTATAGTTTTGTAATCGATCTATGAGTATGTCATGATCTATAGTGTCGAACGCAGCACTAAGATCAAGTAAAACTAGCAATGAGATACAGCCTTGGTCTGACGCAAGAAGCAAGTCATTTGTAATTTTAACAAGTGCAGTTTCTGTGCTATGTTGGGGCCTGAAACCTGACTGAAATTCTTCATAGAGATCATTTAGAGTATATTTGTGTCGAAGGGTGCAGGACTGTCCTTTTATTTTTGTGACTCGAATTGGAGGTCAATTGATGTGGGAGGGTTCACATTTGCATGCATCAAGATAGCAGACTGAGAAAGAGTGAGGTTGTTGGAGCTGCAAGCTTTTGCTGTCCCTTCACAGACAGGTCTGCACTTGGATTGACCCATCATGAGCTGAGTTTCTTCACTCTTCCACTAGGCTAATGCATGTGGAAAACTGAAACTGACAGAAATGTACTCTCTATTCATAGTTCTCACAATTTCCTTCTTACAAATAAATATCATGTTAAGGTGCACTTTATCTAAATTTCGTTTGGGGGAAAAAATATTTTCCATTGTCAATAGTGACTTTTCACACAGAAGTCACTTTCAAACCAAGCAGCTTTCTGTTGGTCAGTGATCAAATTGAATATGAGCAAAATCTGCATGGGGAATTTTTCGCTTCACACAAAACACTGATTGCATGGATTTCAATCGAAATGACTGGAATTTGTTTTACAATCTGATGCTACAAACAACTTCTCTTATCTTCTAGTTTTTCAGACCATCTATGGCTGTGTTTATTGAAGCCAGTACACTGATCTGGAATTTTAAGTGTAATGTTAAAGCGTTAGTTCACCCAAAATATAAAAATTGTCATCAATTACTCAGTCTCATGTAATTCCAAACCCATGAACCACAGATGAAGATATATTTCATGAAACATAAGGAAATTTCTGTCCCTCGATTGAAAGTCCATTAATCCGAAACTTGGAAAATGGAAACTCAAATGCTTATTTGATGCAGAGGTATGGTATAGTTTCTGTTTAACTTAGGGTTGCAAAGGGGTGGAAAATTTCCAGAATCTTTCCAAAGTTTTCCCAAATTTCAGGAAAATTTGCACCTTTTTGCACCCCTAATTTTACCATATTTTGTGTGCTCTTTATAGTGTGTTGATCAATGTTCATGTGTGAGAAAAAAAAACTAAATTAAATCTTTTCTTTACGTAAAACAACTGTGTCCCCTCAGAAGACTTGAATTAAACCTCAGTTCATGTTATTTGCTTTTACAATGTATTTTAGTTTTTTTAAAGCAAATGAGTCATTGAAGAGCCTGTATTTTTAATACTCTATATTTAAGAACATATGTTTGACACCGATACAGAAACGCTGTATTGCATATTTCAAACTGAAGGTGTTATAATTTTCATGCATGCAAGACATTGGCTCATGATCTTGTGCCTTTGAAACGGATTAACTGTGCATTATTGATAGGGCATCAGATCAAACACAAGAGCTGATCCTGACAGACTTGGCTCTTCATATCTGCAAAGGGTCTCCATGGCAACTGGTTTTAAAAGGCACTTTCCTCCTTTGCTTCAGGACTGTTTATTTTTATCTATCTCTCTTGAATACCTGTATAGTTTTGTAATCGATCTATGAGTATGTCATGATCTATAGTGTCGAACGCAGCACTAAGATCAAGTAAAACTAGCAATGAGATACAGCCTTGGTCTGACGCAAGAAGCAAGTCATTTGTAATTTTAACAAGTGCAGTTTCTGTGCTATGTTGGGGCCTGAAACCTGACTGAAATTCTTCATAGAGATCATTTAGAGTATATTTGTGTCGAAGGGTGCAGGACTGTCCTTTTATTTTTGTGACTCGAATTGGAGGTCAATTGATGTGGGAGGGTTCACATTTGCATGCATCAAGATAGCAGACTGAGAAAGAGTGAGGTTGTTGGAGCTGCAAGCTTTTGCTGTCCCTTCACAGACAGGTCTGCACTTGGATTGACCCATCATGAGCTGAGTTTCTTCACTCTTCCACTAGGCTAATGCATGTGGAAAACTGAAACTGACAGAAATGTACTCTCTATTCATAGTTCTCACAATTTCCTTCTTACAAATAAATATCATGTTAAGGTGCACTTTATCTAAATTTCGTTTGGGGGAAAAAATATTTTCCATTGTCAATAGTGACTTTTCACACAGAAGTCACTTTCAAACCAAGCAGCTTTCTGTTGGTCAGTGATCAAATTGAATATGAGCAAAATCTGCATGGGGAATTTTTCGCTTCACACAAAACACTGATTGCATGGATTTCAATCGAAATGACTGGAATTTGTTTTACAATCTGATGCTACAAACAACTTCTCTTATCTTCTAGTTTTTCAGACCATCTATGGCTGTGTTTATTGAAGCCAGTACACTGATCTGGAATTTTAAGTGTAATGTTAAAGCGTTAGTTCACCCAAAATATAAAAATTGTCATCAATTACTCAGTCTCATGTAATTCCAAACCCATGAACCACAGATGAAGATATATTTCATGAAACATAAGGAAATTTCTGTCCCTCGATTGAAAGTCCATTAATCCGAAACTTGGACACTTGGAAAATGGAAACTCAAATGCTTATTTGATGCAGAGGTATGGTATAGTTTCTGTTTAACTTAGGGTTGCAAAGGGGTGGAAAATTTCCAGAATCTTTCCAAAGTTTTCCCAAATTTCAGGAAAATTTGCACCTTTTTGCACCCCTAATTTTACCATATTTTGTGTGCTCTTTATAGTGTGTTGATCAATGTTCATGTGTGAGAAAAAAAAACTAAATTAAATCTTTTCTTTACGTAAAACAACCGTGTCCCCTCAGAAGACTTGAATTAAACCTCAGTTCATGTTATTTGCTTTTACAATGTATTTTAGTTTTTTTTAAGCAAATGAGTCATTGAAGAGCCTGTATTTTTAATACTCTATATTTAAGAACATATGTTTGACACCGATACAGAAACGCTGTATTGCATATTTCAAACTGAAGGTGTTATAATTTTCATGCATGCAAGACATTGGCTCATGATCTTGTGCCTTTGAAACGGATTAACTGTGCATTATTGATAGGGCATCAGATCAAACACAAGAGCTGATCCTGACAGACTTGGCTCTTCATATCTGCAAAGGGTCTCCATGGCAACTGGTTTTAAAAGGCACTTTCCTCCTTTGCTTCAGGACTGTTTATTTTTATCTATCTCTGCCTTTCTGAGAAACCAGATGCAGCACCTGAAAAACATGAACAACAAAAGAATGTCTTTGTGGTATTCTAACTCGCTCTTGAAACACCAACATGATAATTATGCAATGCGTGGAATTAATTTAAAGGGGTGTTCAAACGAAAATGAACTTTCTCTCATCATTTAATCAGCCTCATGTTGTTCCAGACTTATAGAAGAGTGTGTACGCGGCACTTTTCCTACACAAGACATAACCTTTTTCAGTCTGTGACCTGAAATAGAGTATATGGACTACTTTTATGACAATTTTATGCAATTGTTTGGTTAGTTATTTTAATTGAACTTATTTTATTTTATTTTTATTTATTTATTTATTTGTTTTGTTTTTGTGTTTTAAAGCCTGAGGTCACTTCATGTGTTGTGTTGTTGAACAAAACAGTGTAAACATTCTTCAAAATATCTTAAATTAAGTCATCTTATATAAAGTCATACAGGTTTGGAACAACATGAGGGTAAGTAAATAATGACCCTTTTTTTTAGCAAATTGTTCCTGTAAGTGTTTTGTATGGATTAGTAATTATTTTCCATAAAATCAAATAATTTATTTATAAAGCACATTTAAAATCTACTGTTAGAATGAGCCAGAAACAATTAAATTAAATTAATGAAAAATAAATGGTTATTTATATATATATATATATATATATACACACACACACACATACAGTTTCATAGAAACCCATGTGTTAGACACAATTTGACTTTATTAGCTCTACATTAATACATCAATAAATATAATTTAATTCATGAGAAAAAAAGTAGATCTAATATGTATATAAAATGTAAAAAAAAAAAAAAACAGTACAATAAAAAGCCATGTGCTAATCAAAAGTTGACATGGACTGTAATGTTTAGCCATATATCAGTAACTGTATGTTTTTGTATTATTTCCACAGCCTCAGTTCATCAAGCCCCACCCACACTTCCAAAGACTCCGTCAGCCTATCAGACGTGAAGGCAGGACTATTAGACACCTTGTCCAGGGAGAAAACAATTAAGTCAGGTATTGATTCCTTTCAATCAGTCAGTTGGACATTGATGGTCTCAGCCACATAAAACTGTCATGTTCAATCTCGGTTTGCCATTAGAGGACACAGTGAAATTGGGCCTGTGTGACCAGGCCATTGTCTCGGGGCATGATGGTCTAGCTGGTGGCTGCACCTGGGAGGACAAACTGTGTGAGCAGCAGGAGCAGCTGGAGAGGGAGATGCAGGAGGCGCGGAAAATGGTGTCTAGCCTACAGGTGACACTAACATATATCATCTTCTAATTTAGTTTGAATTGCTTCTAGAGGCTTATAACAGATGTTTTTGTGTGTTTTATAGGCTCTCCTTCTCCATGGTTCATTACCCGAGGATGAGCAGGAGGTGTCGCTCAGTCTTGGTGAGGGAGTTGAAAATGCGGAGCAGCAACTGGTGTGTATCTTTATTTCTGTCCCGATTGTGTTTTACCCCAAATTGGCCTCTTTTCTTCCGGATCCTGCATATCCCTCCCTCATGATAATATGTGTCTTCCTATGCCCCTCCCTCCCCCCGTCTCTCTCATTCTCTCCTGCTCTTTCACTAAGCTCTGTCAGGGCAGATCATGTTACTCTCACGGTGGACTTTGCTTTGTTTGTGGGAGAGATGCAGGGATCCAGCATTTCTCTCCTTCTCTTCTACAGTGTCTGTTTCTCTCTTCCGTTTCTTTTCTAGGTTGTCGGGTAAACTAGTTCTTTCTGTATTTAGTGTAGTGTGTGCTGTAGTTATGGTGGTTTTGTTTTGAAGTAGCAAAAACCTTCTGTTGTGGTGCTACAGGTTGTAATACGAAGTCGCCTGGACCAAAGCATGGAGGAGAGTCAAGAACTAAAGGTGGGTATTTTTGTTCTGGGCTGTTTCAGTTTTGTACATTTATTGAGTGTGGCAAGATATTTATACAGGATTTAGTTTTTGCAGCAGGGACCAAAGCATGGAGGAGAGTCAAGAACTAAAGGTGGGTATTTTTGTTCTGGGCTGTTTCAGTTTCAGTACATTTATTGAGTGTGGCAAGATATTTATACAGGATTTAGTTTTTGCAGCAGGATAAATAAATCCAACAATATGTGTAATATAAATATTACACATATATATATATATATATATATATGTATATATACTGTATATATTAGTGCTGTCAGACGATTAATCGCGATTAATTGCATCCAAAATAAAAGTTTTTTGTTTACATATGTGTGTGTGTACTGTGTATATTTATTATGTATACATAAATAAACACACATGCATGTATATATTTAAGAAAAATGTTACGTTTATATATTAAATATATTTATATATGATATAATTTATATCAATATAAATTTATACATGTAAATATTTTAAATATAACATATTAAAATAGAAAACATATTTTGAATTGTAATATTATTTCATGATATTAAATTTTTTACTGTATTTTTGTAGTAAATGCAACATAAGAGACTCCTATACTGTATTAATGTATTTTTGAGTATCATTTTAGTTCGTTTGACTACTTTATACTTACTTTGTAGTCACTTATTTATGTGCTGATCTTGTCAAGTCCTGTTGTTGTTTTTTTAAACCAATCTATGCAGTAAAGTCTCTGGAGTTATTTTGTTTATTTATATTATATTTACATGCAGAGGGAGCTATTGAGGTTCAAACAGGAGGCTCGCAACCTGCAGGGGGTGAAAGTAAGTCTTGCATACCTCCAAACTCCACATGCCTATAAAATAAGACCCTCACACTCGCATTACTAGGAATTCAATTAGTCTCAGACTGATATAGAGAAGAACAAGTTAGATATGCGAGTTTAGTTTAATTGACTGTGCTTTGTCATCACTCAGGATGCTCTTCAGCAGCGTATGGCTGTGCAGGAGTCCTCAGTCCTGCAGCTCAAACAGGAACTCCTGCGCACCAGTATGGCCAAAGATGAGCTGGCGGGACAAAATGTGAGCGCATGCAACTGAGACCTGACATTTTTGTTTTTATGCTATGCATATTAATTTTATTTCAGTTATACCATATCTGTGACCAGTTGTCAATTATTATGTGTGTATATTTTTTTCTTAGGCCGAGCTACAGAGGAAGCTAGAGGAGCGGAATAGGCTTCTTAGCGAATATAAGGCATGTCTTGTTTTGCAAAGTATAATAATGTTTATTACAAACATTTTTCCACAATATATAGTATGTATTCTAATACTACTGTTCATTAGTGTTTTCAGTTGTTTTTATAGAAATGATAGTTTTTTCTAGTTTTATTGTTATTTAGTGGTAATTAATGTTTATGTTGCAACCTTAATTGAGATCCTTGTTGTATATGCAAGATTATATTAATTTGTTCTGATTGCTAAATGAATAAACTATTATCTGATATTTACACATTTAGAAATATATTACTTTTAAGCTTCAGTCTTGTTACGAGTTTTTATTAGTAGCTTGTTGTGTAGCTACCTTTTTTTTCAAAAGGGTAGCTTGACTCTAGTTGTGCTTTAATTTAAGAGTAGATTATATCTTAAAATTCTAGAATTCCTCACATTAAAGAATGCTTTTTCTAATCAAATGCTGATTTTCATCATAAAGCTTTGGTAGTTATACCACATCTATTTCTATAATATATTTAAACTTACTGTCTTTATGCTGTGCAGAAAGATCTGGGCCAAAAGGATCGGCTTCTGCAGCAGCAACAGCTGAAGCTGGATGAGACACTGCGCAAGCTGACAGACAGCAGCAGCCAGCAGGTACGACTTCAAACACAGCCCTGCAGACTCAACTCTCAACTAGCATAGCAGCTGTGAAGGAGAACTGCATGATGGGAATGGAAATGCAGGATAGTTATTAATTTGTTTATGAATTTATATAATGTACAGCTATTATTGCAAATTTAGTATTTCATGTTTTATATACAGGTGCATCTCAATAAATTAGAATGTTGTGGAAAAGTTAATTTATTTCAGTAATTCAACTCAAATTGTGAAACTCGTGTATTAAATAAATTCAATGCACACAGACTGAAGTAGTTTAAGTCTTTGGCTCTTTTAATTGTGATGATTTTGGCTCTCATTTAACAAAAACCCACCAATTCACTATCTCAACAAATTAGAATATGGTGACATGCCAATCAGCTAGTCAACTCAAAATACCTACAAAGGTTTCCTGAGCCTTTAAAATGGTCTCTGAGTTTGGTTGTATATATATATATATATATATATATATATATACATATATAATATTTAATAAATATATAATAATCCATAATATATAATGCATAAAAATATAAAGAAGATATAAAGAAAATATTTTTAGTATTCTAGTATTCAATAAATATATGTTAAATTGAGAGTGAATGCTTTTGAAACTTAATATAAAAGTATGCAGGTAAAAATGTCACTAGGGCAAGTACAGGCCCAACCACCCCAGCAGAAAAAAAAAAATCCTTATTGTTGAGCCCTAATAATGAATCTGTTTACCTCATTATGTAACTGAAGGCTTCTGCACTTGCTTTTATAGAACAGTTCAGTGTGAATGAGAATGTTTGTGTGTTTCTCAGGCTTGCCTGCAGAGGGAGCTGGAGCACAAGGAGAGTATTCTCAAAGAGTTAATGAGCCATGCGACAGAGGAGGTAACACGCCTATAAATAATACACAATTCTCCCCACAGCGGTTTGTTTTCACACATTGCAGATTATGTTTAGTGCTTCCATTATTTCTTAAAATTTCAAGTAAAGACGCCCTGTCGTCTGTTTCAGCTTCCTGGCTCGCAAAACAACGGCTATTCACACCCACCCGGCACAGCATCAAAACCACACCACGGGGTAAATAAGCCTGAAGCCTTTTTTTCCCTCAATTATTTTATATTATATCTATAGAGATATATGTAATTGTGTCTCTTATAGGCTGAGGAGCTGCAGTTAGTAAGAGATGCTCTCCATAGTCTGAGGAACAGCTTTGGAGGTCACGACCCTCAGCATCACACTTTGGACACCCTTGAGCAAGGTGTGGCCAGCCTGATGGATCGCCTCTATGACCTGGAAACACGCCACAAACAGGAGAGGAGGGTACAATGAATGTTTATCCATTCTCACACAGCAGGTTTTGCACCTGATCTACATTCTGTTCTCAAATCAGTCTGTTTCTTTGTAGACGCGAGGCAAATCTCCAGGTCATAAAGCGTCTCACTCAGATCGAGACTCCTGGCCTCCTACTTCAAGTAAGCATACATCTTAATCCCAAAACTACGGTGGCCCAGTAGTGCACAACACAACGGAAACAAGCCGCAACACAACAAAATTAGCATAACACAATGGAAACAAACCGCCACGTAATGTAAACAATCACAACACAACGAAAACAAGCTGCAACACAACGAAAACAAGCCCCAATACAATGGAAACAAGCCACAACACAACGGAAACAAGCTGCAACACAGCCACAACACAACGGAAACAAGCCGCAACACAATGAAATTGCCACCACACAACTGAAACAAGCCGCAACACAATGAAATTGCCACAACACAACGGAAACAAGCCGCAACACAACGAAAACGAGCCACAACACAATGGAAATAAGCCACCACGTAATGGAAACCAGTCACAACACAACGAAAACAAGCCCCAGTACAACGGAAACAAGCTGCAACACAATGGAAACAAGCCGCAACACAATAGAAACAAGCCGCAACACAATAGAAACAAGCCGCAACACAATAGAAACAAGCCGCAACACAATAGAAACAAGCCGCAACACAACGAAAACGAGCCACAACACAATGGAAATAAGCCACCACGTAATGGAAACCAGTCACAACACAACGAAAACAAGCCCCAGTACAACGGAAACAAGCTGCAACACAATGGAAACAAGCCACAACAAAAACAATCCACAACACAATGGAAACAAGCCACCACGTAATGGAAACAAGTCACAACACAACGAAAACAAGCCCCAATACAACAGAAACATGCCGCAACACAACAGAAACAAGCTGCAAAAATTAGCACAACATAATGGAAACAATCCACAACACAATGAAAACAAACCACAACACAGTTAAATTAGCACAACATAATGGAAACAATCCACAACACAATGAAAACAAACCACAACACAATTAAATTAGCACAACATAATGGAAACAATCCACAACACAATGGAAACAAGCCACTACGTAATGGAAACAAGTCACAACACAACGAAAACAAGCCCTAATACAACAGAAACATGCCGCAACACAATGAAATTAGCACAACATAACGGAAACAAGCCACAAAACAACGAAATTAACACAACACGATGGAAAGAAGCCACAACACAATGGAAACGAGCCGCAACACAATAAAATTAGCACAACACAATGGAAAAAAGCCCCAATACAACGAAAACAAGCCCCAACACAACGGAAACAAGCCGCAACACAATGAAAGTAGCAGAACATAATGGAAACAAGCCACAACACAACGGAAACAAGCCGCTACACAACACAACAGAAACGTGTTGCAACACAACGAAATTAGCACAAAAAAAGAAAAAGATGCACAACCAACCGAGAGAACCGCAGCCTTATGAGGATTGTCAAGCAAAATCGATTCAAGAATTTGAGTGAACTTCACAAGGAATGGACTGAGGCTGGGGTCAAGGCATCAAGAGCCACCACACACAGACGTGTCAAGGAATTTGGCTACAGTTGTTGTATTCCTCTTGTTAAGCCACTCCTGAACCACAGACAACGTCAGAGGCGTCTTACCTGGGTAAGGAGAAGAAGAACTGGACTGTTGCCCAGTGGTCCAAAGTCCTCTTTTCAGATGAGACCAAATGTTGTATTTCATTTGGAAACCAAGGTCCTAGAGTCTGGAGGAAGGGTGGAGAAGCTCATAGCCCAAGTTGCTTGAAGTCCAGTGTTAAGTTTCCACAGTCTGTGATGATTTGGGGTGCAATGTCATCTGCAATGTCATTTCATTTACCAAGAAATTTTGGAGCACTTCATGCTTCCTTCTGCTGACCAGCTTTTTGAAGATGCTGATTTCATTTTCAAGCAGGATTTAGCACCTGCCCACACTGCCAAAAGCACCAAAAGTTGGTTAAATGACCATGGTGTTGGTGTGCTTGACTGGCCAGCAAACGCACCAGTCTTGAACCCTCTAGAGCCGCAACACAATGAAATTAGCACAACATAACGGAAACAAGCCACCACGTAATTGAAACAAGCCACAACACAACGAAATTAGTACAATACAACGGAAACATGCCGCAACACAATGAAATTAGCACAACATAATGGAAACAATCCACAACACAATGAAAACAAACCGCAACACAGTTAAATTAGCACAACACAATGGAAACAAGCCACCACGTATTGGAAACAAGTCACAACACAACGAAAACAAGCCCTAATACAGCAGAAACATGCCGCAACACAATGAAATTAGCACAACATAATGGAAACAAGCCGCAACACAACGAAAACAAGCCACAACACAATGGAAAGAAGCCACAACACAATGGAAACAAGTTGCAACACAACAAAAACAAGGGGGGAAAGCCGCAACACAATGGAAACAAGCCACAACACAATGGAAACAAGTCGCAACACAAATAAATTAGCACAACACAATGGAAACAAGCCACAACACAACAGAAACTTGTTGCAACAACGAAATTAGCACAAAAGAAACAAGCCACAACACAACAGAAACAAGTCACAATACAGCAAAATTAGCACAATAATGAAATTAGTCCTATGCGTTGTGCTGTGGCAATTTCGTTGTGTTGTTGAGATTTCGTTTTGCACTACTGGGTCACCGTACAAAACACCTCAGTACAGGAAATGACATAACCGTTTAAATATAAATGAATATCATTTGTACTTGTCAGGTTTCACAGTAGGTATATTGCTGCTTATTTAAAATACTACTAAAGTGAATAATCTCTTCTGCTCTCTTACAGAAATGGTTCATTCTCAGAGCAGCCCTGCGTTAAACTCATCAGCATGCACCAAAGTCCTGTACTTCACTGACCGCTCGCTCACGCCATTCATGGTGAACATCCCCAAGAGGTCAGTCAGACTCTTGGGTATTACACATATTACACATATATGTGGCTTGAGTGGATCTTTAGCCTTAAATCAATATAATGTGGTATACTTTAGATATGTGACCTTGGACCACAAAACCAGTGTTTTAGGATAGAATAATATTTGGCTGAGGGTGCAAAAAAAAATCGAAATATTGAGAGAATCGCCTTTAAAATTGTCCAAATTAAGTCCTTAACAATGCATATTACTAATCAAAAATTAGATTTTTATATATTTACGGTGGGAAATTTACAAAATATTTTCATGGATCTTTGCTTAATATCCTAATGATACAAATATACCCATGCAACTTTTGACTGTTTTTGTGGTCCAGGGTCACATATGTGCTATGAGATTTTTCATTGTCTTATGTCAACAGGCTTGGGGAGGTCACCCTGCGAGACTTCAAGGCTGCTGTTGATCGGGAAGGCAATTATCGGTACCATTTTAAAGCACTGGATCCAGAGTTTGGCACTGTGAAGGAAGAGGTATTGCCACATAATCAGTCAACAGGATATTTTCTCTTTACATTCAAGCATCTAAATCAGTGATTCTCAACCAGAAGGCAAGGGCCCATTAGGGGGCCGCAGCAAACTTTCAATAATGAATGGGGTCTTTAAATATTTTTTTTAACTGTAGGGACTTTTAAAGGGATAGTTCACCCAAAAATGAAAATTCTGTCATTAATTACTCACCCCCATGTCGTTCCAAACCCGTAAGACCTTCGTTCATCTTCAGAACACAAATTAAGATATTTTGGATGAAATCTGAGAGCTTTCTGACCCTGCCTAGAAAGTAGGGATGCACCAGTATTTGTATCGGTATCGGCCCGATACTGAGCTCCTGTACTCATACTCGTTAAAATGCCCCGATACCAAATTCCGATACCACACAGCATGTGATAAGAGCCATATTCAGACAAAGAAACACCGACAACAGACAGCAGAATGGAGTTATTAGAGATTAAAGATGTCTACGAAGTATATGTATGCAATGAATATAAAACATTCAGTATTAATGCCTGTATAGCTGATTTGCGCCAGCTGGTAAGCAAATCACGCTGAGTGGATTGAGCGCGTGTCGACGCAGATGCGCGAGCTTGTCGAGTGAATATCCCTTTCTCACAGACATCACTGGAAAGTTTGTAGTTCGGTCGGATATGTCAAAAAGAAGTAAGTAAAACAATGCACACGTTACTTAATGGTAGGGGGGGAGAGAGAGCGCACTTCTGTTGTGTGATCTGTTCGCTCACTTAGCACGCATCATTTGGATTGTAAGACAATTTATAGGGGCATTCACTATAAACATTTATTTTCACCCTTAAGCATACACGACTTTCTGGCGAAAGTGAAACTAACAGCCTGTGTGAAATGCGCTAGGCTGTACTGTACTTGTCCCTCTCATTCTGCATCAGTACAAATACGTGCACGCGTTGCGCGTGTTTTGCTTGCTTCATGAGTGTTTCTGCATTATAGGAGTGTCTTTGGAAAATAAATCGCTGCACGTTTCAGATGAAAAAAACGCAACTTCTATTTAAGAAAATATCACAGTTAGGAGATTTATAGCGAGTGGTTCCTTGCATTTTTACAGCAAATCGCGTGATTACAGTACTACGCCACTGCAATGGAGCAGCTCTAATGCTATTAAATTAAAGATGATGTAGGCTACCATAGAGAGAGAAAAAAAATATCAGTGAAAGTAACAAAAACTTGTAAAATACATTTTAATGGGCATAATTAAGTGTGAAAATAACAGAAGGATATACAGTCAAACCAAAAATTATTCAGAGACCAGATATAATTTTAGATATTTTTTTACTAGTGGGTACAGGACAATATAGTTCATTTCTGTAAAGTGAGGATAGCAAAATAAACTAAACTGTGATATATTATACGCAAAAATTCTTCATACAATGGACTACCAGTAAAATTGATGAGTGGTTCCCTGCATTTTTACAGCAAATCGTCAAACCAAAAATTATTCAGAGACCAGATATAATTTTTGATATTTTTTTACTAGTGGGTGCAGGACACTATAGTTCATTTATGTAAAGTGAGGATAGCAAAATAAACTAAACTGTGATATATTATACGCAAAAATTCTTCATACAATGGACTACCAGTAAAATTGATACAAATTTGGGACCAAAAATTATTCAGACCGAGTCTGGGAAAAAATGTAAGTTCAGGTTTGCATGAACCTGGTTGACAGCATGCCCAGGAGACTACAGGCTGTCATTAAGGCTAAGGGTCACCCGACAAAGTATTGATAGTTGTGTAAATATTGACAGCTGTATGAATAATTTTTGGTTTATTGTAATCTATTACATACCTTTCTATCAAAGTTATCTGACATTATCAAGCTGAATTTGTTCTGACACAGTTAAACTCTGAGTTCTTGTCATATTTTATTAACATTTTCTAAACTATAATGAATAAACTGTGATAATGTGAGAAATGTTGAAGGTTTTTGGTTTGACTATCTATTTGATAAATTAAGTTAACCAACTAACATTATACATACTCTTTTGGTTTCTGTACCCAATATTTAAAAAATGTACAAATGCAATGAAAATATTGGTATCGGTACTCTGTAGCGGCAAGTACCAAAAAGAAAAGTATCAGTATCGGGCAAGTACTGGAAAAAGTGGTATCGGTGCATCCCTACTAGAAAGCAAAGAAAATGCCATGTTCAAGGTCTGATGTAGTACTCTTGTGAACGCGCATCGAAGACTGACACGGAAGAGAAGAAATTGTTGAATAAAGTCGTTATTTTTGTTTGCTTTACGCAAAAAAAATATTCTTGTAGCATTATAAAATTAAGGTTGAACCCCTGATTTCACATGAATTATTTTAACAATGTCCTTACTACCTTTCTGGGCCTTGAACGTGGAAGTTGCGTTGCTGTGTATGCAGGGTCAGAAAGCCCTCGGATTTCATCAAAAATATCATAATTTGTGTTCCGAAGATGAATGAAGTTTCTTACGGATTTGGAACGACATGAGTGAAAGAATTTTCTTCTTTTTTTTTTTTTTATTTAAATCAAAATAAAATGTTGCATATAATGTATAAAAAGGACCCATGGCTTCTCCCAGGTGTTCCAGGATGACGCAGTGGTGCCCGGCTGGGAAGGGAAGATCGTGGCCTGGGTAGAAGAGGATCATGGGCAAAGAGGGTACTGCACGCACCTATACAGCTGGTACCACATCTGTTTCTCACCATTTTAAGCTCACTCTCTCTATTTTCCTCGACAGGACCTAACACAAGTCAGCAAGAAGCTGTCTAAGGAAATGGAGACGTCTGTGCCAAAATGAAATAACATTGATTTGTAACTCAAGTGTACAGAGGATGGAGCTTTAGTGCCCTAAGAAAGTCCCACCCACCTTTACTCTATCCTGCATGAGCTGAACAGCAGAATGAACCTGAAAGGATGTGGAGGATCATCGTAAGGAGCACCAGATGGAGAAAGTCCCATCTTGCGTCCTGTCCAGACCAGTATTACTCAAACATAACTATACAGAGGATGGGAGGACAGGATTTCTGATCTCTTTTAGAGGTCTTGCCATAGAACAGACACCCATTCAAATGCTTTACTAGCAGACAAACTCTTCACTGTGACGGAGGAGCCTTTTGTTCAGTTCACCTACTTTAAAGTAGGTTCTGCCAGAGTACTTTTTTGTTTATTTCGATGAACCAAAATTGAAATTTTTTTTGCTGTGAATTGAGAGAAGTAGGTCATCTTGACCGTCAGGAGTACTTGTGTGAATGTGGTTATGAGTCTTAAGAAAGCAGCAGTAAAATTATGCAAGTATAGAGCAGAAAGGAGTTTGACATCTGCTGTTACCTTGCTGTGAGATTTTTTTTTATCTTCGATAAAGAGTTTCCCTAAAACATACGTTAGACACATTCTTTATGATATTCTGCAAAAAAGACTCTATCTTCTCCAAGGACCAAAGTGTTTTGCTTGTTTGATATAAGATGTCATTCAATAAGTCTTTTTTTAAGAGATTATGTTTTTTTTTTTTTTGTATGCATGTCTTCTAAGAGTCTGCACTGAAGATTTGACTGTATGGTATAAATGTGGTGAAATTACAGCTCATGATTTTGACCATAGCACAACATAAAATGTAGTACAGATAAATTGCATTATCACTGCAGACTTTCAAACGTAATTATCTATCTTTCAAATGTTAACTATCAAATGTGCCGTTCCGCTGCACTGATTTGAGTTTACAGGAAAGTGCCTGGAATCTGCTAAGAAAGAGGTGGCCGGGGTTTGCCTTTTGTATTTTTGTTCTGTTTTATATTTATGTAAATATGTTAATATTTCAGAGATAGAGCGAGGCATAGTGCCTTTACACTGTATAAATGATGTCCTATAAATACCGAATAATATTTTAAAGATGAAAATGCCCTCTTTGTATCCAAAAAAGGCACATAATCACTCTCATCAGAGAAGCCTAGCTAACAAGAACCGTAATGATGGTAATACAAGCGACTGTGTGCCATGACTGAAATTCTGCTTTACACTCCTGATTACTGCTGGTTGCATTGCTAAGAATGTTATTTGGTTTGCAAATAAACAGTTTGAAGCAGTATACACTATGTGTGTGTTTTTGTTAAATAAACTTTATTAAAAGTATTATTATCATTTAAGTATTTTGCGTCATTTAAAAAAGTTACACAGGGATCCTTACTCCTTAGGGGACAAAAAGTTTTTAAAAAAACTCAAAATATATATATATATTTTTTTTTTTGCATTTAATGCATTTTTAGATGAAAAATGTTTGCTCCCGAACATACTATTGGCAAGTGGACGGTGGAAGGTGTGCATTGGTGAATTATTATTGGAATGTAAGGACTGTTTATCTAATGAAGCAAGAAAGATTTTTCCTGTTATGATTTATTGTTATTTCTACAGATTGCCCAGTTTGTCTGTAACAAAGTTGACAAATATTACTATAAATAAATCAGTTTTTTTAATTAAAAGTAAAAAAGGAAGTAATTAGTGTTTGACAAGCACAGAATTATAAAAATTGAATAGGTTTTCAATACGATATTAGAAAGAATTTTTGTAAGTGAACGTTTTTTTTCTTAACTTTTTGAAATGCCAAATGTATCTCCAATTATAAAATCACCCCTTTATATTCAATTTAGCAACAACAAAAAATAAACAAAAAAATCATAATTTCACTGGACCATTATTTAATTATTTAAATAAAATATAACCATAAATGTTAATAAAAACTGACCAATCCTGATGATCTCTTCGAGTGTAGAATGTAAAAAAATAGTTTTTGAAATGTTAGCGGTCAATAAATGTATCTCGCCGCTCCAGGTCGTTAACATTTCAAAAACTATTTTTTTGGACAATACGTAAAGCTGGGAAAGAAGGTAAAAGTCCAAGTGATTACAGACCAATTTCTCTTACTTCGCGCTTATGTAAGGTAATGGGAAAAACTATAAATCAGAGACTAACATATTTTATGGAAACTAAAGGGAATATTAAAAAAAGAATATAAAATAAAATTCAAAGTAGGTGTGGCATTTAGTATCCCAGAATTTAATGTCAAAGTCTGTAAAAGAATCACAGATAATTTGTCATTTTACATTGGTGAAATGATTGCAATTTTACTGGCATTGCAATGGGTGGAGGAAAATAAGCCAATGAGGACGCTCATGTTCTGATTCAAGTTCATCTTTAATTACAATTAAAATATGTCATTCAGAGAGCAGAGCAGATATAATGATTGAGATTCTTCAAACAATATATAGGATCCAGATGATGGGAATTTCTGTAGCTTTCTGTTGGGTACCAGCGCATGTGGGAGTAAAAGGAAATGAGTTAGCAGACGAATATGCAAAGGAAGCAACAAAGAAAGTAGACATAGATATGCAGATAAAGTATGGTAAGAGTGAAATGAAGTGTGTATTCAAGCAACATGTGATGAATAGATGGCAGAAATATTGGGAAGAAGAAAGAACAGGGAGATGGTTTTATAGCATTCAAAGAATTGTTGGTAAGTACAGAGTAACAGGAAGAAATAGACATGAGGAAACTATCATCTCAAGGCTTAGATTTGGCCATACTGCTCTTAATAGCAGTTTGAAGAGAATGGGGAGACATGAAACTGGAAAATGTGAATATTGTAGTATGGAGGGAAATGTAGAGCATGTTATAATGAAGTGTCCAAGATACGGAAAGGAAAGACAGATACTGATTGATGTCCTCAAGGAAAATAAAGAAAAACTTAATTTGATGAACATTTTGGGCAATGAATCAGGGGATAAAAACTTTCGATTTTTAATGCGTTATTTAAAGGACACGGGATTATATAATAGAATTTAGTGAAGAGTACGGTCCTGATACTATTTCCGTGACACTCGTGGTCCTCCATAATCCACACTCCTAATCAGTAGCTGCGGTAATGCACCTAAAAGTTGTATGCCATCCGCCATTAAACACCAAGAAGAAGAAGAAGAAGAAGAAGAAGAAGAAGAAGGTCGTTAGATGGCGCTGATTCACTTACTCAGCAACGCTCACTGCCAGCAAAACATCTCGCGAAGTAAACATTCACGTGTTGTTACACTATAGCTAGTCAACGAAACAGAGTGCAAATGCGGGATAAAAAGGATAAAGAGAAGACCCAGATGTCCGATGACCCTGTGAAGAATTTTGACAAATGGCAAAGGAAATACAACAAAACAAAGAAACGAGTCAAACTAGTTCAAAAGTCCACCAAGAAACGCGACTGGGAGGTGGAGAGAGAAAACATACAGAAGCTGGTGAATAAATACTCGGAGGTGAGATATCATGAGGCTGATATTGCAAAGCATTTCTGACTTCTCGTACAGTACTTGTTTCTAGGGATTGCCACGTGTTTACCTACCTGTTACGCAGCTGTTGTGGCATCTGGCTTGACAGATCAGTCTTTTGACATTTAAAAGCAATGTTTACAAGTACTAGTCCTGTGGATGTTGTGCTTGAAGTGTTGCTGATGGTTGTTTGTCAGCACAGGTCTTCACATAAACATGATACTGTTTTATTGGTGGTCAGTGTTTTTTAGTCCTGGGACAGAACAGGCCACGTAACAGACATAAAAGTTAACATGTCAAGGTTTTTTCAGCATGTCAAGTATTCAGACGTGTTGCACTGTTCAGCATCTTCTATTTTATGT